AACTGAGTAAAACTTCCCCTTTGCAGAGCCCACTAAACTTTGACTGCTACAATGCATTGCATAATATGGTAGCTACGGCCATTCTTACAATGTGTATGAGGGTAGCTTTGTCATTTGCAGTTTTTGTAACTGCATATGCCATCCTTCCTATAAGAACTCAAATGAATTGCTATTGCTTACCAGAGAAAGTAGATGCACAAACATTCATACATAGCTATATTAATAATTCTCACATATAAATATGTTAATGATTTCTCATGTTAAGATCCTTGCATATCAGAGGCTTCTTTCCCCTCATAGAACCTAGACTAGAATTCACAAACAGAATCCAGAGGAAAAATTGTAAACCCCCATATCAAAGAGCCTTTGTCCTCCTATTTGAGAAAATAGCTCAAGGCCATTCTCAGGGTACAGGCCTAGCAATTTAGAGATAGAGAGCTCCCAGGGAATGCTGTGCCTATTTATTATCCAGCATACCTGTATAGTCTCAATTGTTTTTCTTTAGTTCTTTTCTTTAAACCCCTAAAACCATCCAAGAAAGTCCCCTTCTGCCTCTACAATTATACTTCATAGATAAGTGTCCACCTGGGCTCTAAGGCTTCATAGCACCTGGAATGACAGATAACAGATATTCTCATATCCCCCTGCTAAATGTCCTTGAATAGTGAGGGAAGCTAAATTCCATTTTTATGCCAATTTCAATTTTTCATCAATTACAATGCTCAAAGATCCCCAAGAGTAGATCTGGATACAAAAATAACAGATAATGCTTTGTTTCCCCATCAATCACCGATCTGAGGAAACAAGGGAGCAACTGTAATACCTCAGAGATGGAACTTTCCCTATATAAAAGGGGAAAACTAGAAAGCCATTTTAGGGGAACTACTATTTCTCATCCCTGATGAATTTTATTATTTCGGTAGATGAAAACTTAGAGACTTGCAGCACCCCTCTCATACCCATCTCAGTTCCCCTGAGGCCTCAGTCAGCTGACAGAATATCTTTCAAGAAATTTCATATAGATATGTAAGTTTTATACATTTTTTTCTTTTTCCCTTCACATTATGGGAATTTGATGCAGAATTAATCATTTAAAGAGGCATTTGCTACCAGGTGCCAAACTTAAAATGGGTGGGAAGATTTGGTCAATTCTCCTTTTTATCATAAGAAAAAATTTGCAAATTCAAAGAAATGTTACCAATTCAAACTGGTGTCATTTTAGTAGGGCCAATTTACCTCTTAGTGGAATAGAGAGATGATTTCTCAAGGGAGGATACCAACCTTTTGGGAAAAAATTTCAGATATGATTTTTTTTTAAAGGTGACTAAAAAAATTGACAACCATAAAACTATGTGCCTACTCTCCAATCTCTACAAAATATTTATAAGAACTGTATACCCTTCCATCTTTGATAAAAGTATTAGAGAGCAATAGGCACACTTTCACAAATTATTCCCTACAATATCCAACATCTTTATGGATATACAATTGACTGAAAGATGGAAAGAATCCAAGATCCTAGTGTGCTTAATATTTGTAGATTATGAAAACAACTGAGTTAGTTAAATAAAATTCTATCTTAAAGGCTCTCCTCTTTTATGAAATACCCTAAAAGATACAATAAAGATTATTTTGTTTGATGACCCTTTGATTATTAATATCAAGCAAAGCAAGAAACAAGAAAACATATGCTCACCAAAGTTATATACTGCCATCTCTGAGGATTCCCAACACAAAATCTAAATGGAAAAGGATTCCTTATAATTGTGAGGTCTTCCAAATGTTCATTTGCAGATGACATTGTATTGATTTCAGTAAGCCCTAGACACTACAAAGCCTTCTAAAATGACATCTGTAATTGCTCAGGAATGTTCAGCCTAAATATTCCTAAAGGAAAAACCAACTGGTTGAAGAATTGCTATTGTACAAAGTGCAATATGCAGTTGAATGGATAGCCCACAGAACTGGCTCATTGGCATATATTTTTGGACATATCAAATGGATAATGAGTTAGGTCCAGTGTTGAACAAGAGGAGAGTAGTTTGCTTTTGGGAATTTGCTCAGTGATTTTAATGACCTCAGGCTTCTCCTAGAAATAAAGGTCATTCTTTTTATTCTTCTAGTGATGGCATACGGCTGAAATAATAGTCATGGAATAATATAGTCTCCAGAAAGATAAAGTTGAGGGTCAAGTAGAGAATAAGAGAGAGTTGCATGGTGAATATGTGCAGGCTGTAGCATGAAGGGGCAGATGAAAGTGGCACAGATAAAGAATCAAGCAGAATTTATACCAGAGCTGCATTAATGGTTCAATATAAGGAAAATAATCCATGTAATATATTATATTAATAGTAAAAACCATACAAATTAAATCACATCAATGTCATACAAGCAGGTCTTTGAGAAAAATATAACATCAAATTATCGTTTTATGTAGCAAAAGGTGAGATTGATCAGGGGAAACCTGGTCATTTGACTCTCCCTACCTCCTTTTCCACTTGATGAAATTACAGAATATGGGGAACAGGTAATAAAGATAATGAGATTTAAGCATGTGCCCCTTTTAGACTTTGATCAATGTTTGGAATTTATTATGTACTTTAAAAAAAATAAGTGGTATGAAAAGAAATTCACCATTTTATACACAATCTTCTTTTTATATTTTGCTATATATATGGAAATATTCATTGTTTGAGAAACAATGAATATGAAAAATTTAGAGAAGTTTGGAAAGTGTGACAGGTGAAATCTGAAATAACTAAAACAAAGGTCCAAAATTCTGAACATGTCAATTTATTAAGCACTGCATAACAACTGTATAACAAGTAGGGACCAGGCTTCCTCAGCTTGGCACTGGACTCTGAATACAGGGGGAAACACATTTTTATTCATTAACAATTACCAGGATATAAACTAGGATAAAAAATTAAATAATATGATTTCTAATTGGAGGAAAGATTAGGGACTTTCCAAGTGAGGAGGATGGTGAACAGATGCAATTCCCCGAAATCAGAAAAAAAATGTCCCATTCCCCTCCAAAGTGTCTATATTCAACCAAAGAAACAAGGACACAGTAACTAATTGACCAGTATTGGGCCAGTTTTCAGATATAACATATGGGTTGCTTGACATATAAAATTGTGAGAAAATGCCTTGCATCAATCTTTTCAAAGTTGGGACAGGGAAAGGGTGAGTTTCAGTCAAGTTGGGAGGGGATGAGTAGGTTTCGAGGTCTTTTCTTTCCCAGAATTGGTAGGCATCCCCTACATTTTACAAAATATAGATGACTTACATCTTCTATTTTCCCATGAATGATTTGCAAAAAACCAACAAGATGGAGGATAATACATGTGGCAGCACAAGATGGAGTCAGTGTTGATGGGATGGAATCCAATTGGTTCTCTCAATTCTCACACCAAATCAACTCCATTTTGTAACTGGCCCTCATTCTATTTCTTCATAAGAAATATGTTTGGGAATAAAACTTAAATAAGCTGAACGAGGGAAACAACCTACATAGCAACTCTAACAGTACAAATGGAAATTACAAACAAAAAAATAAACAACATTATATAATTGTAATGATCAATCTTATCCCCAACAAAGAGATGAAAAAAATGCACCTCTCTCCTTTCACTGAACAGGTAGAAGACTGCAAATGCTGAATAGTGCACATCCTGTCAGACTCAGCTGACATGTTGGTTAGTTTTGTTAAACTAATTTTTTTCTTCTCTTTAAAAAAATCTTTTTTTTTTTTCGTTATAAGGAATGGCTTGCCACATAGGGGAGGAACTAGGAATAGACTGAGAAATAAAGATGATATAAAAATAAAAGATAGCAGTAAAAATTGAAAAATTTTTAAAAGTTAGGCTACATAGTTATATTTTATCTTGGAGACAATCAGGAATCACTAAAAGGCTTTGAGCGGTGACTGACATGGCTAGCCCTATGCCTTAGAAAGAATATTTTCGCAGCTATACAGAAAATAGAGTAGACAGGCAAGAGACCAGAATCAAGGAAACTGTTGCAACATCCCTGCTAAGAGGACCTACAGGGTTTAGGAATAATAAGAAAGTATGAATGTAAGAGATTCATTGGAAAGAGGAAAAAGGAAAAGGAAGAAGGAAGGGAATAAGCGTTCATTTAGCATCTACTATGTACCAGGAACAGCATAAAGCACTTTTTACACAAATATTATCTCATTTGATCCTCAAAACAACATTGCAATGTAGGTGATATTATTTTCATTTTATAGTTAAGGATACTAAGACAGACAGAAAATTATATAACTTAGCCAGGGTCACACAGCTAGTCAGTTCTGGAGGCCACATTTGAACTCAAGTCTTCCTGACTCCAGGCCCAGAGCAATACGTTGCACCATCAGGGCTCTCAGAGAGCTGGATTTAGAGTCGAAAGACCTACATTCAGACACCAGCTCTGTTGTTTATTACCTGAATGACCCTGGCCAACCATTTTACTTCTCTGGGCCTTGATTTCTACAGCTAAAAAAAAAAAATTAGGGGATTTCACTGGAATCATAGAATCATAGCTTTAGAGCTGGATGGGAATTTTGAGGCCATGGAGACCAACAACCTTATTTTACATATGAGGAAACTGGAGCTCAGAAAGGCTAAATGATTTGCCCCAGAAACCCACAGCCATTTATTATTTGAGGAAGGATTTGAACAGAGTTCTTCCTGTCAATAAGTCCATCACAACTATCTCCTAGCTGATCTCTACCATCCTTTTTAACACTAAATCTATGTCCCTGAAAGATGACATAAAGTCACAATAGACATGGAAATGACTGTAAATGACTGGATACATGAGACATGTTGGGAGGAATCAAAAATGACTCCATGTTACATAATTAAACCAGTTATTAATGGCAGGATCTATCCTCCCCATGATGCTTAAATAATCTTCCTTTCCACTGGTCATTTGGCTAAAATAAATTTTCTTCCCTGAGACTTCTCTTATTTTATGTGGTTTTGCCTTACCTGGTACAATCTTCCTTTCTACTGTCTTCTCTGACATGCCTTCCTTGTCTTTTTCATACCAAGTGGTAAGTAAATCCTGAAGCCAGGTAGACATCTGGTACAGGTACAACACAGAAAAGAAAAAATGTGAAACTCAGAGACAATATACATTTATCATAAGTTCAAGACTCTGACATTGGATTTCCACTACAGAATCATGTGCATTAAGAATTACCCTAGGAAGCGTGAAGGGAAAGGCCAGTAAGTTAAAAAGAAAACTAAAGCTCTGCAGGGAAGAAGCTAAATTTGAAAGTACTTAGGGTAGAGTTAGGGGGACTTCATAGATTAGGTAGATAAATAGAGCTATAAAGATATACAGAAATGAAGATATATAGATATATTTACATATCTTAATGGCAATCATCACAGCTTCTGGTATGATGTGATCTCAAATTTCCCACATTCTTAAGTGTGACATTTCCCACATGGGAACATGAGGGTGAAAATGATCATTTATAGAAACATGATTTGCATATTACAGTGCAGAAACCCATTTCCTGTATAAAGGCGAGGTACATGTGTAGTATTTACTTATTTTAATGGTTTCCAGTGTTTAGCAAATAGTTCCACTGTATAGCAAACAATCATCAAAGATGGACACAAAAATGAAAAGTTATTGGAAATAAAAAATTATCATATACGCGATTGTCTGTTCTTACTTATGAAGAGGAAAAACAATAACAACTTTTAAAATCTGTTTCTGATCACTGAAATACGTATCTGGAGTACAAAGTAACCCAAAATAAAGGGTGTATATATAAGAGGAAGTGTGGAATAATGGATAGATTGCTGCCTTAGGGGGTGGGATATTGGAACAAGTCCAGGCTGGGACAAGCACACATTTTGGACAAGTCACTTAGTTTCTAAATGCCTCAGGAAATTTTCTAAGGCAATAAACAGCAGAGCAGGTGCATTTTCATTGGTAAAGAGAGTTCTCTCTCTACAAGTGTCATACAACAATGAAACCAGAGGTCTGGTCTAGTCCAAAAAAAATTATATATATACACATGTAAATATAGAAAATCAATGCGCTCAAGAAGAAACATGTCATACTAGAAAAGAACACTGAATTCAGAGTCCAAAGACTCAAACTCAAGTCTCTGCTTGGTCTCTACTACCTTGGACAAGTCACTTCCTCACTGAGGACTCACTGAGTCTCTTATTACAAAAAGCTACCTTTAGGACTTCATGCTAGAACTAATGGCTTGTGCAGAAATCTCATATCAAATTGGTAATATGATTAGTTATCTGGTATGCTTCGTTCTTCAGGGGTTATAGTAGACAGCTAAATGGAAACAAGAAAGGATTGATAAAAGTCAACAAACTGAGAGGAAGCAACTGATTTCATAGGAGGAGAGAGAAGGATCAAACACCACCAGAAAAGTACACCAGCTTGTTGTTGTCGTTGTTGTTGCTGTCCTTCATTCTCGAAGAGGGCCATGACATCAGGAAAGTGATGTCAAGACTTGGAATTGAATTGGAGTTAAGTGAGGCAAGGCTGCACAAAGTCACCAGCCTCGCTTTCTCCTCCAGAGCCATCTGGGTCCAGTGGCAAGACATAGATCAGAAGGACTAGAGATGGCCCTCGATGCAGTTGGAGACCTTGGCCTTTTTAAGCTAAGGTCTTAAACAGATGACTGGGGCAACACTCATTCAATGATTAAGGTCAAGTCAAGAAATTAAGCAGAAAATGGCCTCTTTTACCTAGTCAAAAAAAATTCAATCTCAGACCTCAGGATTTCTGGCGAAAACAAAAACAATTGCTATTTATGCCAACTCTGAGCTATCAGAGCCCAAACAATGACTAAATAAGGTTTGGGCTGGGACCTATTGTTGGCCAGTCAAAGAGGGCCAGAGTGATTTGGGTTTAAGGCATGGTCCTTAAAAAAGAAATTTAGTCCATGAACCCCAAGATATCTTGTGAAGTTTCAGTGATCCAAATTGCTATTCCTTTGGGCACAGCACCCACAGGTAAGGTATGATTCCCTTTGTGGACAGAGGGAAAGGAAGGAGGGAGGGAAAGAAGGAAGGAAGGAGGGAGGGAAGGAAGGAAATAAAAAGCTATCATTTGGGTCCCCAGTAGAATAGCTACTACCACTACTCACAGATTGTTGATCGTTGTTTGTATTTCATTCTCAAAGAGGACCATGGCATGGGGAAGGTGATGTCGTGACTTGCAAGTGAATTGGATTTAAGTGAGGAAGGGCTGTGCAAAGTCACTAGTCTCAATCTCTCCTCCAAAGTCATCTCAACCAGGTCATATACAGATTGTTTGAAGGAACCAATAGTGTTTAACCAGAAGAAGAAAAGACTTAGGTGGGACATGTACCGAGGTATATGAAGGGTCATTATGTGGGAGACAGACTAGGTTTGTTTCACTTGTCTCTAGAGCAAGCCTGCACAAACTATAGCCCACAAGCACTTAAGGTCCTAGGGTTCTTGCAGCACATCAAAAGATTTCAGGTGACCATCAAAAAATGTAGAGGAGAACATCCTTTGTATGTAGAGGAAATCCTTTGACATGCTGCAAGAGGCCTGAAGGCTATAAGCAGCCTCTGGCCACAGGTTGTATAGGCCTGCTCTAGAGGGTAGGATAGGGGCATTGGTGGAAGTGGCAGAGAGGCAGATGTAGGTACAATAAAAGGAAAAACTACTTGAGAAAGTAAAAAAAAAAAAAAAAAGCTTGGGCTGTCCAGGAGATAGCAGGTTCCCCTTCACCAGTGTTGTTTGAGAAGCTGAATAACCACTCCCTGAGAATGCCATAGAGATTCTTGGTTAGCTATGGATTGAACCCTGAGATCCCCTCCAACTCTGAGATTCTGTGATTCTTATTTGGTGACTTGCCCAAGGTCACACATGTCACCTAATACATGCCAGAAGCAAAATTCTGAAATCAGGTCATCTGACTCTGGGTCCTATGCTATACCATACTGTCCCCCAAAGTAATTCAATAATAGAAAATTTTGGTTGACACAGAGCCTTTCAGGCTACATTTGTATAGTTGTTAATTTGCAAATTACAATACTAATAATGTAATCTAACTTTTTTTCCCCCTGGTTACTGTGATAGCTGTCCTAATGAGTATTTCTTAACCTGAGAGACCAGACGTGCTGTTTCAAGGTTATCCTGTCCTTTCTCCTGGTCAGTGTAGCAAAATTTGGGGCCAGGATCTCTTAGGCAAAGCATTTAGCAGTCCTCTGTATCATTTGATGATTGATATCTTTATTCCAAAGCCTTTCTTTTTGCATCACTGTTATATCCTAGGTAATGAGCTACTATCTATGAATTATCATCCATATGGTAACAAGAAAGTATGTACAAGAATCAGGATTATGCCATCTGTACTTGCTTTGGTGTGCGCATTTTGTTGTTTTGTTTTTGCTCAGTGCTTTTCATGGTGTATCATTAAACACATTTTACTCTCTTTGAAAGCATTCGCTAAGCTGTAGGGGTCTCATATGGGACATTATTTTTTAATATTTGCACTTCATTCAGAAGGGATAGGATGTAAGAATAATGAGAACTATCCTATATGCACATAGCTTGTTGAAACTGAGGTTAAAATATGATGGAACCTCTGAAAACAGCTTCTCCTTCTCTGGGTTTCTGCTGAGAGGTAGTGTAATGTAGTGGATAGAGTGCAGACCTTGGAGACAGGAAGACCTGGGTTCAAGTCCTGCCTTTGACACATACCAGTTGTGTAACCATGGACAAATCATCTCACCTCTCGCTGCCCTATATGCCCTATAAACTATAACTCGGAGAAGAGTGGCCTCTATGAAGGAGTGAAAGGTTGTCATATAGAAGAGGGATTATTGGGTGTGTTCAGTTTGGCCTCATAGGGCAGAACCAAGAAGAAATAATGGAAGTAGCAATGAGGTGAGTGAGAATTGTTCAAGAGTGGAAGGGGCTGCCTGCGGACACCATATGCTCCCTTTCACCAGGAGTCTTTAAACAGGGATTAAAGGACCACTTCCTGGTTGGCCTAGGTGGTCACTGAAGTCCCTTCCAACTTTAAAACTCTATGATTCTGGAGCTATCTTCCACCAGGGGAGTTCAGCAAGAGACTGAATTTATAATTCATCCATTTACCAATGTGGCAAAGTAGAAAAGCAATGATTGTTTACTACCATTAGCAGTATGGCATGGGGAAAGAACAACTAAATTAGTGTCACAAAACCTAAGTCCTGGGTCTTCCACTTAACGGCTGGATGATTTGGGGCAAATTATTTAATCTCACCAAGCCTGAGTTTCCTCCTCTGTAAAATGGGGATAATAATGTGTATCACCTAATTCATAGTGCTATGATATTGTTAGCATTTCATGAATGTAAGAAACTTCAAAAACAATAATAGTTTACATGTATACAACACTCTAATGTTTTACAAAATGTGTTACATTTATTACCTGATTTTGAACCTCCCCACAATACTGCGAGATGAGTGCTATTGTTATCCCTAATTTACAGCTTTTGGAGAGGTTAAGATACTTCCTGCTATTCACATAGCTAATGAGTATGAGACAGGATTCAGCCTCAAGTCTTCCTGACTCCAAGTCTGGTACTCTAATCTTTACACCACAGGAGGGTATATTATTAGAAACCATGTTCCAAATTATCCCTTTGTCGAAAATTAAAGGGGAAAAAAAGCCTGTATTATTTTCCCCCAGCTACTGAAATTCTTACTTGGAGTTCTGTAGCTCTAGACTGCTTTTCACACTGTAGTATCTTAAATGTTTTAAGAAAAGAAATTTGAGAAACAAACTTAGAATATCATATTATATATATAAATATAATATATAATATATGTATATACACATATACATGTATATATATATATATGCTTATCAATCTAATTTATCTATACATACACATACATATATAGGGCAGCTAGGTGGCATAATGGATAGAGCACTGGGCTTGGAATCAGAAAGACTCATCTTCAAGAGTCTAGCCTCAGACACTAGTTATGTGACCCAGGACAAGTCCCTTAACCTAGTTTCTCTCAGTTTCCTCATCTGTAAAATGAGCTAGAAAAGAAAATGGCAAACCACTCC